TCTCTCTGTCTCTGTCTCTGTCTCTCTGTCTCTGTCTCTGCCTCTCTGTCTCTGTCTCTGTCTCTCTCTCTTTCTCTCTCTTTCTCTCTCTTTCTCTCTCTCTCTCTCTCTCTCTCTCTCTCTCTCTCTCTCTCCTCTCTCTCTCTCTCTCTCTCTCTCTCTCTCTCTCTCTCTCTCTCTCTCTTCTGTATGTTTATATCTTTATATATATATATATATATATATATATATATATATATATATAAATGTATATCTAATCTATCTATCTATCTATCTTTCTATCTATCTATTCATATATATCCCTCCCCCTCCTTCCCATACAACCCAACCCTACCTAACCAAAATAACAACCAACAATCATACCAGAGTCTCCCTTTCAGAAAACACACAAGTTTACCCAGATCTACGTTTTCTTTACTTTTTTTCTCTGACTTTTCTCTTTACTTTTCTTCGTCTCTTTACGCTTTTTCCTTCTTAGTTTTTCACTTTACTTACTTTTTCTCTCTTTACTTACTCTTTTTTTCTACTTCTCTTTACGTTTTCTCTTTACTTTCTATTTCGTTTTTAACTTTCTCTCTTTAACTCTACTTTACTCCTTATCTTTACTTTTTATTTTTTCTCTTCAGTCTCGGCGACGCGGTGGTCCGACTCGGCGACAATCTGAATGACGTCACACGAAGAATCACGAACGGCATCGCCAAAGCCACGTCGAGATACGAAAGGTAGATGGTGATGCTGATAGATGTATGGGAGGAAGGGGAAGGAGGGAGGAGGGAGGAGAGGGAAGAGAAGGGGAGGGGGGGGAGGGAGGGGAGGAGGGGAGGGGGGAGGGGGAGGTAGAGGAGGAGGAGGGAGGGAGGGGGGGAGGAAGGGGAGTAGAGAGGGGAGGGAGGAGGAGGGAGGGAGGGAGAGAGGGAAGGAGGAAGGAAGGGAGAGGAGGGAAGGGAGGAGAGGAAGAGGGAGGGGAGGGAGGGAGGAGGGGAGGAGAGAGGGAGGAGAAGGAGGGAAGGAGAGGGAGGGAGGGAAGAGAGAGAGAGAGAATACTATAGAATGTAGATTGATGGATATGGATATGTGGGTAGATAGATGTACATTAATGTAGTTATAGATGCCAATATACATACACACATGCATGCAAACATATTTACATACATACATACATGCATACATACGTAAATACGTAAATGTATATATGCATGCATGCATATAATACACAAATATATATATGTACATATATATATATATATATATATATATATATATATATATATATATATATATATATATAACACAAACGAACACACACACATACATATGTGTGTGTGTGTGTGTGTGTGTGTTGTGTGTGTGTGTGTGCGTGTGTATGTCGGCATGTATGTATGCACGTATATACATATATATGTGTATATATATATATATTATATACATATTATATATGTATATATATATATATATATATATATATATATATATATATATATATATAATATATATATAATATATACACACACACACACATTTGTAATCTGTATTGTTTTCTCAAAAAGATTGCAATATCAGCTGGCATGGCAATAACTCTGTAATATCAAAATTGTAGACCAAGAAACGCAAAAACAAGGATAATTTCGCGCAGCCAAAAACACTAACCGTTAACCCCTTTCCAGCAGGGACCGAACGAAGCGGAGCATAAACTACCGAACAGCGAGACGATAAAGGAGGAAATCCTGTGTTTTTCTGTGGATAATAACCCTTATCTTCCGTCATGGGCAGTTCCGTGGGTCGTTGTTTTTTTTTTTTCTTTTTTTTTTCTTTTTTCTTTTTTTTTATTGTTATTTTGTTGAAAAGCTTGGTGTGCAGTTTAGTGATTTGCTTTGTTTTGTTACTAATGGACATTTTGTTGAACTATGTTATTTGTTTTTTTTTTTATAAACGTATTTAATAAATATCATTTAAACCATGTGCTGTCTTTGACTATCCTGAGGCTCACATTATAAGTTATATATATATATATATATTATATATATATATATATATATATATATATATGTATATATATGTGTGTGTGTGTGTGTGTGTGTGTGTGTGTGTGTGTGTGTGTGTGTGTTGTGCTGTATATTTTGTGTGTGTATATACTGTATATATGTGTATATATAATATATATTTTTTTATATATGTGTATATATATACATGTATGCATATATATACATATATGTATATATATATATATGATTATATATATATATATATATTATATATATATATATATATATAACGCCAAGTTGCGTGGCCCACAGTGCTTCTCTCGCTTCGCTCACACGCAAACACAGAAACACATACTTACAGGCACACACATATATATACATTCCTATATTTTTTATGTGTATACATATATTCATATATACATACACACACGCACGCCACATTTGTATATATACTTGTATATATGCATATACACATATATACATACGCACACACAAACACAAACGCATTCACACAAAAA